TATTCTGGGGAAAGAAAGAAAGAAAGAAAGAAGGGAAGGAAGGAAGAAAGGAGGGAAGGAGAGAGGGAGGATATGGCCCCATGTAGCTGTAGTTATTGTCTTTGGAGGTGGGATTAGCAGCTTCTACCCGGTCTGTTGCCTGGTTAGCTGTACCCCTCTCCCCAGCCAACTGCCTTTCTCCTGCAACAGGACTCAGGGTATCAATTTAAACTGCTAGCACAGGAATTAGGCAGTCGGAAGGCCATTGCTCAGGAGAGGAAGGAACATGGATTTGCCCCCGGTGAACACGGATTTTCCCAGCCTCACCCCCTGGCCTAACCCCATGCCCTGTGTGAACAGCTGCTCCATAAATATTGAATGTTGATGCAAACCAGCTTGTGTGAGTATTTGGCTGAACTTAAGCTGCTACTGTGTGACCACAGATGTGGGGAGCTTAGTTCTTCCCTAAGAAGGGAGATAATAATAGCTAATAATAACTAACATTTATAGAGCACTTACTGTGTGCAGGCACTGAGTTAAATGCTTTGTAATTACTATCTCATTTAATCCTGACGACAACCTTGCAAGGCAGGTGCTTTATTATTATCCTTATTTTACAAATGAGGAAACTGAGATGGTTGGATGGAATTTGGGGATCAAGGGGGAGAATGGGAAGCCACTATCTCTACCTTCTACTTTAGCTAGGGTTCCCTTATAATTGCCACCTTCCTTCTTTCTCATATGTGAAGGGCTTTGCAAACTTTAAAGTAACACATAAATGCTGGCTGTTTTTTTATTATCATTATTATTATTAAAGCACTATATAAGTGCTATCTATTACTGTTATTGTTATTTCTGCCAGAGTTTGTTGTTGTTATTCACTTGTGTCCAACTCTTTGTGACCCCATTTGGGGTTTTCTTGGCAGAGATTCTGGAGTGGTTTGCCGTTTCCTTCTCCAGTTAATTTTACAGATGAGGAAACTGAGGCAAACAAGGTTAAGTGACTTGCCTCCAGTCACACAACCAGTAAGTGTCTGAGGCCAGATTTGAACTGATGAAGACGATTCTTCCTGACTCCAGGCCAGATGCTCTTTTATCCACTAAGCCACCTAGCTGCCCACCAGAATTAGATAGCTCCGAACAAAGATCTGTCATCTGGGAGAGGAGGCTATGGGAAAGGGGGAGAAAGTAAAAAGATCCTAAATTACTCTAACCCAGGTCATCCTTATCTTCTACTTGTATCTATTCTCAGTCCTCTTGGAGTAGGTAATGTTGGCCATTAAGCAATCAGTTGTCCAGTACGATGGAGTGGAAAGAACACTAGGTTCAAATTCTGGCTCGAAATGTTTGCCAGCTGTGTGATGGTTGGCTGGTTGCTTAACTTCCCTGAGCTTTCTCTTCTGAAAAATGGGAGTAATAATTCTTGCTCTACCTGCTCCACAGGGTAGTTGTAAGAGGTTGCTTTGTAAGCCTTAAAGCCCTATGGCAGTGTGAGCTGTTATTCTTCATTTCCCCCCAGTTCCTGAGGGGAGTATATATACTTACTAATTTCCCTTGTGAGCAGAATCACATGCTACTGCCCATGAGAATGAGGGTTTTCTCTTTGGAGCTAAAGCTTTCTTTAGAGGCTTTGATGTTGTCGGAGCATTAAAGATTTCATGAATTCTTGGGGTGATGTCAGATATCAAAAAGAAGGGGGGTCATGTTATAGTAGTGAGAGCATTCATTGGTCATGGAGCCAGAGGAAGGGAGGAAAGAAGCATTAATTAAGTGCCTACTATGTGCTACAAAATTTACAAACAATATATCATTTGATCTTGGCAATAAGGTAATTGCCATTATTATCCCCATTTTACCATTGAGGGAACTGAGGCAGACAAAGGTTAAGTGACACAGGGTTACACAGCTAGCAAATGTCTGAGACCAGATTTGAACTTGAGTCTTTTTTTTTTTTTTAAGGCAATTGGGGTTAAGTGACTTGCCCAGGGTCACATAGCTAGTAAGTGTCAAGTGTTTGGTCTAGAGACCGGATTTGAACTCAGGTCCTTTTGACTTCAGGGCCGGTGCTCTATCCACTGTACCATTCAGCAGCCTCCAGAGGAGATAGACTTGAATCCCAGCTCTGCTACTTGGGCAAGTCATTTCTGAAGTCTCTGATCTTCAGTTTCCTTATCTGTAAAATGGGAATAATAAATATAATAAACTACTTCCCTTGAAGGATTTTTTTTTTTTGGTGAGGCAATCAAGGTTAAGTGACTTGCCCAGGGTCACACAGCTAGTGAGTCCTCACAGGATTTAAGGGTTTGTAAGCCTTGTGTATGTGTTCAGTCGTTTTCAATCATGTCCAACTTTTCGTGACCCCGTTGGAAGTTTTCTTGGCCCCTGTTGGAAGTTTTCTTGGCAAAGATACTGGAGTGGTTTGCCATTTCCTTCTCCAGTTCATTTGGTAGCTGAGGAAACTGAGGCAAACAGTGTTAAGTGACTTGCCCAGGGTCACACAGCTAATAAGTGTCTGAGGCTAGATTTGATCTCCGGAAAAAGAGCCTTCCTGGCTTCAGTCCCAGCGCTCTATCCATTGCGCCACCTTGCTAGTAAGCCTTAAAATGCTTTGTAACATGTGAGTGGTGATGAAGTAATGGGCTGGGCTGGATTGAGGGACCCTGAAAAAGCTGTGATTCCATATTTCTTATTTCTTGTTCATATAATGCTGTAATATGCTTATATTAGAAGGAGGGAGGGAAGACACCAGAGCACATTGGATCACTGCACCTAAGGTCCCCCTACTCTGCAAAAAGACCTCTGCTATTTGTCAACATGAAAAGATTTCCTTAAACCTCCTGTCTTTTGGGTCTTGGTGCTCACTACTGCCTTGTATGGGAAGAGATCGAGTGTGTATCTGTAAGTCCACCCTGGGCATCCATGGACACCAGATGGAAGGCTACCTCTGCCAGAGATGCTACCCTGGTCTCTGACCCAGCTCTGGGTCTCTAAGCCAGCCCCAGGTGAGCTGAGCCTTTTTTCCAGCAGCCCTCCTGTTGGAAAGGGGCTGGCTTGCCCCTTTCAGTGAAATTAATCCTTTGCTCAAGAACCTACCAGGGCAGCTGGGTGGCACAGTGTCCAGAGCACTGGACTTGGAATCAGGAAGACTCACCTTTCTGAGTTCAAATCCAGCCTCAGACACTTACTTAACTGTATGACCCTGGGTCCCTTAAACCCATTTGCTTCAGTTTCCTCATCTGTAAAGTGAGTTGGAGAAAGAAATGGCAAACCACTCTGGTATCTTTGCTAAAAAAAAAAAAAAAAGCCCAACCCAAATAGGGTCATATAGAGTTGGACACAACTGAACAACAATTAAAAACCTACCATGGTTCCACATTGCCTAATGGGATTCAGTTCTTCTTCTTTAAAGTGGCATTGAAGGGCCTTCATAATCTGGCCCTCACCCTACTCATCCAGTGTCCCAATATTTCCCAAAACAACCCTTTGGTCTTAGAAAGGCTGGGTTTTCCCCCTACAAGTTATATGAATTCCCACTGCCTTTCCTTTGCTCACGCTATCTCTCCTTGCCCTGCCTTCTGCCTCCTCTCTCACGAAATTCTATCTGCCTTTCAAGGCCCAGCTCATATCCTGCTTCTTCGTTGGTCGGCCAGCCTTTGTTGACCTCTACAGAACCCACTGTTCTCCCTCTCTTCCAACTTAAAGTCTATACTATGCAATCTAGCACGTGATTACATTAATTTGCATCTTGTAATGTTTGTTTTGTGTGTGTGTGTGTGTGTGTGTGTGTGTATGTGTGTATGTCTTGACTCACCAACTAAATTTTAAGTTTCTTGAAGGCAGGGACTATGTCTTCTCTTGAATACTTAGCACAGTTCTAGGTACATCGTGTTCAGGAAACGCTAGACACGGGCTCGGAACATGCTAGGCATGAGCTCAGGACCAAAGAGTCCTTACTCAGAGACCTGCCTTCTGGCTACCACAAGCCATGTTCTCTCTACAGCTCATCAGTTAACCAACCAGCCATGAAGTATTTCCCAAGCCGCTTCTGTTTGCCAAGTAGTCCCTTTGTTGGCAGTGTGCATGACGTCCCAGGGTTTGGGGGTGGATGGGGCTAATGAAGAAGGAGATAATCAAGGAGCTCCTCCCAAGGAAGGCTGAGGACAAAGAGCTAGGCAGTCAGCCAACTTGGGACTGCCAAGCCCACTTCCAAGCCCAGAGCTCCACAACCCTGGGATTCTCACCCCTCTCTTCAGTGTGACCTTCTGTTTCATAACGGAGCCCTAGACTGCTCAGAGAGGAGACAGCCATGGTAATCCTTTGCTGTGGTTCACTTCATTTCTCTGAATGCATCTGGAATGGTTTCCTAGTGCCTGAGTCATGCCTGTAAGGAAAACTGTAGGGTCCCTATAGGGTCAGGGTAAGTCACATTGTCTACTCTCCCTTCCTTACTCAGATTCCTCCCCTCACACTTTTACACAGGTGGAATCAGTTCAAATGAACCTCAAGTAGCCCTTCTAACTGCAAACCCACAGAGAGATGAGGAGTAATTAGAACTCAAATTATGAACACAAGGCAGTAGTATTTACATGGGCCTACTGCTTCTTGTGCCCAAGTCCCCTTCTCCCTCCATGCCAAGCAGTCCTGGGAATCTCTCCACTATTGTTGGCCAAGTGTGAAGTGACTACCTTCTTCAGAGGTCATTCTCATCTCATTCCTGAAGAAGAGGTGAATTTAGGGGCAGGTAGGTGGCACAGTGGATAGAGCACCAGCCCTGGATTCAGGAGGACCTGAGTTCAAATCTGGCCTCAGACACATGATACTTACTAGCTGTGTGACCCTAGGTAAGTCATTTGACCCCGATTGCCTCACCAAAAATTAAAAAAAAAGGAAGAAGTGAATTTACTCACCAGTTCTTACAGGGAGGAGCAGGGCACAGGAGGTGTCAGGAAGGCAGGGTATGATGGGTGCAGATGACTGATGACTATGGGCCCTCCTGCTCATCCTACTGTTTGTCATTTCAGACTGGAGGCCTGTGCTCAACGTAGCAGCTTTGGACTGTGCAGAAGAAGTGAATTCGGAAATCTGCCGGAACTTTGGGATTCTTGCTTACCCTACTGTAAAGGTGAAGTCTTGGAGTGTGGGGGAGGGGCGAGCCATAGGGAGGGAGAGGTTTTGGAAGGGGGACCTAGCTATAAGTAGGACATGGCAATATCGTTTTTTTTTTTTAAACAAATTTGTCTCTCCCCAGCCTCCGCCTCTGGGTCTCTGGGTATCTTGTGTTTGGTTTCAACCCAATAGAACCCTAGTGACTGCAAGTCCAAGCCTTCCAAGCTATACTCCTCCCACTGGGGTTGTTAATCTTGGAAGCAGGAATGTTACCTTTGTACTTTGTTTGCTGGCAGTGGAAAAACAATTATTTTTGACAGGCAGAAAAATCTCTTATCTAAGAGGTATGTAGCTCTGGCCACCAAGGGAAAATCTGAGCTGTTTAGTCTGGGCTTTAGAGAAATCTTTGCCCAGATAAGTGCTTTATCATCATCCTGGAAGGCTTTTGTAGAGTCAGGACTGCTAACTTGCTAGGGCTCTTTTGCCTGGATCCTTCTCAGAGGCCTGATGTGGTTTTCCAGAACAAACATTCCTTTTCTAGCCTTCCAGACCTACTCGATTCGTTATAGTCACACTCTGGGGACATGAAATCAGTCTCATGTTGCTCAGGGGGTCTGCAAATGTTCTAATAATAATAGTGGTAATAATAACACATGATAAGGTGGGAACAGGATGAGATACATATCACTGTCATGCTATCTGCTACTAAACTTGTCCCAGAGATGCTTTCAGTTGAGCCCACAGAGGAAAAGCTTAAATAAGAAACATCCATGTAAATGGATGATATCAAATTACATGGCTTCATCAAAAAAAACAAACAACCTCTCCCCAAATGCCTTCTTCCTTCTATGGAAAGTTTCTGTAATGATATCACGGCCAAATAACATTTCAATAACTATAAAATCCTTAACTTACACCAAGGAAAAATCGAGATGGAAGGCTTTATTCCTTAACTTAGAGGGCTAATTGAACCAATGGATGAAAACTATACTTAAAATCACCTTGGTCTTCTCCAGGTAAAACATATTGTCTGGGGAAAACCAGATTAAGATCTGAGAATAGGATCAAACTGGCCTTCAAGGGCCATGTCCACATGAACTCAACCATACTTCAAAAAAGCAGCATCAACTAATGGCTGAGTCATGAGGATTTGTTTGCCACCAAAAATTACAAGTAGGTTAGCCTTAAGAAGCTCAGGTTTTTGAGGCAATGCAGATTATTCAAATAAATGGGAGAAACTACATAATATATCACTATAGGTTGCAAACATTTGACATCTTCGTAGATGCTAATATAGCAAAACATGACCTAGTGGCCAGAATTATTAAAAGTTTGCTGCCTTTCATAAATTAATAGATGATAAGGTCCTGTAGTACAAATACAGACCTCAAAATATATTTGAGAATTCAGTACATAAATTGTCCAGGAACCAGACACAGACTAAACTTTCCCACAGTTATCCAGGGATAACAGTTATCTGTGAACATTTGAAAACAACATTTTTAATAGATGCCACTGAACTGAACACTCATAATCTTAAAATATGTAAGATGAAAAAACTTTCAAAATATAGGGACATGTCAGAAGACATTAAAACCACATGAGAAGGGGCAGCTAGGTGGTGCAGTAGGTAGAGTACTGGTCCTGGAGTCAGGAGGACCTGAGTTCAAATGCGACATCAGATACTCACTAGCTGTGTGACCTTGAGCAGGTCATTTAACCCCAACTGCCTAAATATATATATATATATGTATATATGTATATATATACACACACACAGTTCATATACATATGTGTATATATGTATTCATATATATATACATATATATGAACAGGATTACATTTCATCTCTGTCATTCTGTAAGCTGCTGGAATTGTTGTAAAGTTATTTTCAGTGAACCTACCAAAGATTAGCTTGTATCTCAATGCTTTTGTTCAGTTACAAAAAGCAATTATTTATACACCTGTACTCAATGCCTCAGAACCATAAACATAAAAGAATAATAGTGGGTTGGTCACTTTTCCAAGAACTTCTTCCAGCTGAAGAAAGATGAAAGAATGAGATAACAATAACGATATTTCTAACTAACACTTATCTACCACTTTAGTATTTGCCAAGATCTTTATATGCATAATCAATCAAACTGGAAACTTAACACCTTAGCCCTGTATTTTTCTGCCCTACCCAGCCCCAAGACAGATGCTTAAACCTTATGAACCAGGAGCCCCTCCTAGATCACCATTCTCAAATTTGTCTTTAATGAGCCATCTGTAGGATTCAAAAAGAGCTCTCCTCCAGAGAAAGCAGTGAGGATGGCCCCTGGGTAAGGGACCCATTGTGCCTGAGGGCTCCTCAGCCCTGGCAGGAGCTCTCCAGGGCCACCTGCCCCACTCTGGGGCATCCACAGTTTAGTTAAAATCTTCCCAGTATGCTAAGATACTCCAGTGGAAGTCCCACATAGGCACAAAGCAGCAATATTCCCTTAATGATCTGGTGGTCCATACCGAGGGCTTCTGTCTGATTGCTCTCTTAATTACTTTCTTCCAGTTTGAGAGAAAAATTCAAATGACTTTTTCTATACCTCCACCCATCCCTGGAACTAAAAATAGGTTTTGTTTCTTTTGGAGGCAAGAATGACTTAGAGCTAGAGAAGTTTCCTCTTTGGCCACGGAGAACTAATCAGGAAATCCCTTTGGAATTGAAAAGCAAGTGTTGGTTTCCAGTAACAGGATACCTTTGAACCCAGTGATCCTCAAAGTCCAAACAGCCCCCAACCACTCAGCTTGTCTCCTCCTTCCCCTCCCCTTCTGACTCCTCACCCCCCAAAAATCCATACTTTTTTTTTTATCCAGTAAACAAGGTCCCTAAGGTCTGAAAGATCTTTGTTTGAACTTTTCTCCATGTGATGTGCCTTTTACAGTAACCTCACAGGGGCTTTAATTCCTGCTGAGAGAGCCAAAGACTACCTACCACATTTTAGGTCACTGTTTAGGACCTGAGGCTTTGTAGAGCCCCTGTCTCAAGACTTTGTCCTCCCTGGTGCCTCAGGCCACCATAGGACTATAGGCTCCCATCTCCCAAGACAGCGAGCTGTGGCATTTGACTGTAACCGACCAGCCTAAGGAACTGAACCAGAAGAAGCCAGAACCTGCCGCAGTCATTTTGAGATGGAATATTATTGACTCATTTTTCATTTGTGCTGAAAAACCAGACTCCCTTTTCAATGTTATTATTGTTCCCTTGGGCTATGCAAATAACAATATTTTTATATAATAGATTATACATATGTAGCCCTTGAGAGGTTAAATGATTTTTTTTTGGTCACATAGATAATAAGTGACATAGCTGAGATTCAGACCCAGGTCCTCTGACTCCAAATCCAGAATACCTTCCTCTAAAGTATATTACACCCTCTCTTGATCCACAGGGCTAGTACCATAGTTTGGGGGCAGCTAGGTGGCACAGTGGATAGAGCAACAGGCTTGGAAACAGGAGGACTCATCTGCCTGAGTTGAAATCTGGCCTCAGATACTTGCTAGATGTATGACCTTGGGCAAGTCACTTTGCCCTATTTGCTCAGTTTCCTCATCTGTAAAATGAGCTGGAGAAGGAAATGGCAAACCCCTCTAGTATCTCTGCCAAGAAAACCCCAGATGGGGTTACTAAGGGTCAGACACAACTGAAAGGACTGAAGAACAATAAAAGCACCCTAGTTCAGACCCTCATTGGGGTCCCCCTGCTTCCAATCTCTCCCCTCTTCAATCTGTCTTACACAGCTGCCAAAGTCTGATCATGTCACTTTTCTGATCAAATATCTGCAGCAGTTCCCCTTTGCTTATAAAATAGAAGTTGAAAAGGATTTTAGGGATCTAGTCCAACGCTCCTTCATTTTACAGATGAAGAAACCGAGGCCCAAAGATGTTAAGAACTTGCCTAAGGGCACCCAGTTGTGTGAGCTGAGATTTGAACCCAGACCCTCTTCTTCCAAGTCCAGTCCTCTTTCATTAGGCTATGCTTCTATAGACATTATCTAATTTGATCTTTACCAGCATTCTGTGAGGTAGGTATTTGTGTACCCACTTTACAGATGAGGCAGCTAAGGTTTTCTAAGGCTAAATGATTTGCCCAGGGTCACACAGTCGGCAAAAGGCAGAGCTGAAGTATGAACCCAGGTCTTCTGATTCTGCATCTAATGATCTTTGTACTGTATAGTTAACATGAAAAAGTCCTACTCCCTAAACAGAATCACAGAATATGTGTAGGATGTAACCTAAGAGGTCCTTGAACCCAACCTGTTATCTCACAGGAATATCGATTAGAGCATGTTCAAACCAGTGGTCATCAGCTTTGACTGAAGACCTCTAAATGAGAGAGAAAACACTAACCACCTCCTGGGGTAGCCCATTCCACTTTGGGAGAGTTCCGGTTTGGGGGAAATTTTTCCTCACATTGAACCCGTCATCACCTCTCCCAGCGGCCCCCATTGCTTCTAGTTTGACTCCCTTGGGCCAAGCAGAATAAATCTAATCGTTCCTTCAAATACATGAAGAATGCTATCATGCCACCCCCCCCTCAGGTTTTATAAATCAAACTGGCTAAGCCTCTATCACATTTCACTTACAGAATTATCCTAATTAACCTTTTTTTTTTGGCATGTGTGTGTGTGTGTGTGTGATCAGTCCCTTTAGCAGTTTGGTGAAACCTATGGCCCCTTTCTCTGAGCAATGTTTTTAAATCAATAAAATGAAATATATAGGATTACCATGGAAACCAATTATATTGAAGCAAAGATGTATTTTTTTTCCCATGTGAGTTCATGGGCACCCTGAACCAGGTTAAGAACTCAGGTCCTAGACTACTATCTCTGTGTCCTTCACCCAGCCAGTGGGCTTGCTACCTCAAGGAGGAAGGTTTCCAAAACAGTTTTCCCTACTTTGAAGTCAGAGGCCATCATTTTATTTTTTTATGTATACATTTTCCAAGCAGATATGGCATAGTAGCTAGAGAGAAGGACT